GCACTGGCTGGTGCCTGGCTAAGAAAGAAACGTTTAAAGTGTTAAGGCACTGAATGGTTAGCCTTCCTCAACTAAAACAAGTATCTATCTGTGAGATACATTCTTAGAAGTAGAATTATTGGGCCATTAAAATTTAGATGTTGCCTAATTGCCTTGTAAGTTGCTGCAACAATTAGACTACTACCAACAGTATATGAGTGTGTGTTTTCTCCTAAATTACATTATCCAACTTTTGGAGCCCTTCCATCCAAGAGAAAAAAAAACCCCTTGGTATTTAGCTTGTGTTTCTTTAATGAATATGAGGGTGAGCATCTTTTCAAATATTTATTAACCATTTGTATTTCTTTTTCTGTGAGCTGCATGTAATTTGTCTATGGTTTATTTTTCTTTCTCCTATTAATTTGTAATAAAGCTTTATATAGCAGTTAGCCTTTAGTTTGTCAAATGTGTTGTAAATTTCTATTTATTTGCCACACAGATGATCCTTTTTTTTAATGTAGTGAAATCTGTCACTCTCCTTCTTTATGTTTTATGGGTAGTGCCTTCTTCAATGTAAAAATATATAAATATCTAGCTATATTTTGTTTTGGTGTACTTATAGTTTCATTTTTTTTACCTTTAAATCTTTCTTCCATATCAATTTATTCTGATGGAAGAAGCAACATCAGAACTCAGCCATTTCTCCTCAATGGTTGTCTCATTGTCACCAATACAATCAGAACCCATCATTTACCCCAACAAGATATGTAATGTTTATCATGTCACAAGTTCTCATATTTATTTTAAGTCACTTCTAAACTCTATTGTCTCCCACTGATCTGCCTATTGTGAAGCAGTACAATACTCTTTTAATTGCTTTAGTTTTATGATATTTTAATAAATGGATAGGGATAATTTCCATGCGACTTCTTTTTCAAATTTTCCCCCGCCTACTCTCACATAATTATTTACCCAGATGATGTTTAGATAATTTTAGTGATATTACAAAAACAAATTCTGTTGGGATGTTTTTTGGAATTGCATTCAGTTTATAGATCATTAATGACATAATTGACATCTTTATGTTATTGATTCTTCTTATTAAAAAAACATGTCTTTTACATTTATTCCTAACTTCTCTTCTTATCCAATTTAGATTCCATTGTCTGGGATTATAATCATTCCCTTGGATACTGTATTAATTTCCTATCACTGCTGTAACAAATGACCACAATCTTAGCGCCTTAAACAACTGAAATTTATTATCTGACATTTTCGGAGGTTAAAAGTCTGAAATGGGTCTCACTTGGCTAAAATCAAGGTGTCAGCAAGGTTGCATTTGTTTCTAGAGGCTCTAGGAGAATCTGCTTCCTTGCCTTTTCCAGCTTCTAGAGGCTGCCTGCATTCCTTGGCTCATGGCCCCTTCCTCCATCTTCAAAGCCAGCAACTTTGCATCTCTCTGACCATTCCTCCATAGTCATATCTCTCTCTGACTACAGCTGGGAAAGTTTTTCTGCTTTTAAGTACCCATGTGATTAGTTTGGGCTCTCCCAGATAATCCAGGATAATCTCACTATCTCAAGGGCCTTAATTGATCACATCTCCAAAGTTCCTTTTGACACGTGAGGTAACATATTCACAAGTTCCAGGGACTAGGACATGGCCATCATTGGGGGGGCCATTACTCTGCCTCCACAGATATACTCCCAACTGCCATGTCCCTCTCTACCTTCATTGAACTCAACTAGAAAATCTTAACTCCAGTAAGAGAAGATCTGGGTTAACCAGGGCTAAGGAATTTAAAGTGCAAAATAATGAGTTTTGCTTTAGTAGTGTTTTGCTGCCATGATGTTTACTTTGCAACTTAAATTCCCAGCTACCAACCTCAAATGAACCTTGTGCACTGCCCTGCAATCCTGCAACACTCCTGGTCCATCAGCTCCCCTTTCTACCACTCCTCTCCTCTTTCCTCAAACCTCCAGGACCTCCTTCCCATTTTTGTTCCTAGCAGATGAAATTGCTTCCCATTTCTCTGAGAGTGGAGAGGCAATCTGGAGTGAAATTCCACATGCTCTCCCATCATCTTCTAAATTACCTGCATTTGCACCTATATAACGTATGTCCACCTATTACTACAGCTGGAGAATTCAAACTCTCTACTTGTGCTCTGGGTCTCACTCCTGCAGTCTGCTCTAGGAACTCTCCCCGGTAATTTCTCAACCCTCCAGTCCTCAAGTCTTCCCACTCTATGGTGAATCCCAGCAGCTGATGAATATGTTATACCATTCATCTGAGCCCTGGAAGCACCAGTCTCACAGAGAGAGAGGGTTCTCCAAACAGATACCCACAAATAAATCCTGACAATCACCCTAAATCAATGAAGAACAGAGATGTGAGCTTGAGTATGTTTCCATTTTCACTATATGCAGTATCTCATTAGGTTTGGTATCATTTCTTTAGGCTCTAGGCCATGACCACTGTATTTTTTTTTCCTGAGTAAATTATTCACACAAACAGGGTGAATCTGACCCTGTTTGGAACCTCTACTTGGGAGTTTGCATGGAACCAAGTGGCCACCCTCAGACCAAAGCTGCCATCGTAGCACTCAGCACTGGCCATGCTTTTGAAGGATCTCAGTAAATATTCGATGTCTATAATCATCTGCTCAAAATAATACCATCAGAACTCTTGGGTGTTGCCTGTTTTTTTCCACCCAGCCACACAATTCCTTCTCTCCTCCATAAGAAAATTATTTGTAAATCATTAGTTCCCATTTTGATAGAAAATATCAAAACAACTCCGGTAGCCTAAACATGTCTGAACTTCTTGATAGAGCAAATCTTTCCCTGAATGTGCTAGGAACCACAGACGCAATGGAGACAGAACTTCTAGCAGACAAGTTTTATAAAATTGTCTGTTTGGTAAAGGTTATTTATTTAGTGGACTCTTTAAAAAGCAGGAACAAAGAAAAACATCAATTTAACTGAATTTAAAAACAAAGCTACAAAGAATATTTATTCCTCGATATCTTATCTGATGTACATTCAATCCAGGTTTCACATAACTTTTTAGAGTCATCATTCCCTTCACTACAAATTGGGTTTGCCAACAATATTTCTCCTTTTTTAGGAACTGAAAGAACATCTGTGCTTGTGAAAGAGAGACAGGACTCTTGGGCCCCACCTGGCCTACGTTGTGAGTTAACAGGGAGGGGAGGGCAGGTCTCACCTCCACTCTACAACCAAACCAAGGCAAGGTGAGACGGGACAAGTCTGTCGCAGGGAGAAGCAGCAACTGGCCTGACAATGATTAGTATTTTTCACCAGTTGCAAAAGAGATTTTCTTCTTACTTGAGCTGAGGGTCTCCATGTGTTAGATAAGCATGAAAAGATATAACAGGGGTAAGGATTTCCTCCTGGGAGGAACTGGCTGTGGTTGTGGTGGCAAGCAGAATATGACAAGGAAGCCAAAGGAGGAAGGCATGTGTCAGTGAAATGCGCCTGTCCCATCAGCCCCTTGGCCTCATCTACCTCTCTCTTCTCCTGAACTCTTCCTGACCTCCAGCAGAATCCCAGATTCCAGCTTAAAGAAAAAACAGTTCGCCCCAAGGGTCGCCATCCAATGAAAAACTCTGCATGGTCAGTGTTTTTGTGCTACTCTTTCTAGCCAACAAAACTGAGCCTCCTATTGCAGAGGAGAATTGCCCAAGCTCACACGTAGGGGGAGTGACAGGACAAGTCCTCAAATCCTCGTCTTCAGACTCCCAAGCCAGTGCCCTTTCCATTAGACACAGCTGAGCCAAGAAAACAGCACTGCCAGGACTGTTGTTGACTGAACGTGAGCACATGTTCAAGTGTATTTCAAGGTTGCTCAGCTTCTGCACTGGGCGCTTAGAACCTGACAATGCTTGCAGTGGGGACTGTCCTGTGTATTGTATGATGTTTAACAGCATCCCTGGCTTCTACTCAGAAGTTGGTAGTTGCATCCTTCCCCCAAGCTGTGACAACCAGAAGTGTATCCAGACATTGCCAGATTTTACCTGGGAATGGGGGACAAAACCATCCCTGGTGAGAACCACATATCTTTGTGTATACGTGTATATATATGATATGAATCATTTTATGACTAACTATTCATGAAGCATCCTCTCAACCTCTAACAAAAGAAAAGCCAGTAGCAGTTCTGCAGATACTAAAAGCCTCCGAGACAGTCTTCTAGCTGTGAGATGCTTGCTCTCCCTCTCCTGCTTTCCTTCAAGTTTCAGGCACACCAGCCAATGTGGCTTTTCATGGTATGTTTACTCTATTTGTATAACATCATAGCTTTTCATTCCATCTCAAATTACCTTTCTACTACACACTAATACAAATTATAAAGTATCCTTATAGAAGATAGCAAACATTCAGAAACAGACTTTTCCAGATTAAAGGATTTCAAATACATGCTTCTCATCTTTACCAGAATCAGGATCTGTGTTTGTAAAAACATCAGACAAGCAGTCCTGCGCTGGCTCCAGTGTCACAGTGGTGACCCCAACATAGACACACCGGGTGAAAGAGGGGATTAAAATGAGTTAACATTGGTATAATCCCTGAGTCTGGATTTGCATAAAGTCAAATGACAAGTTTAACAGATTGTTAAATCACTCTTTTCCACAGGTTATTTTGAAATCATGTTGAGACGGACATGGTTTTTCTTCTATCCTTTAAATTGCCCTTTCTGAAACTTTTTAAATTGGTTGTTCTGAAGTCGTGTAGACTATGTACCTGTAGATACACACGGCTCTCCTTTTTAACGCCCCACGTTGATCTTCCCTTTAAATCAGCATATTAGTTGACAAGTCAGTTGTCCCACTTGAACATGTCTTTCAAAGTGGACACTAATGCAAGCCAACGACCAAGAAGCTATAGTTTCCTTTTGGTGTTAATGTTAGGTGTGAGATGAGCTTGCGGCTTGCTGCTGTGGGCAGAGCAGATGTTTGACCCGCAGGGTTCCTGGACGAACAGCAGACAGGGCCTTACCTTTGGGAATGGTGATCTGACAGCTCAGGTCACAGTCCTGCTGCAACTGATAAAAAGCCACTTCTTGCAGCCGGGCTCGCTCCAGCTCCGAGAGACTCTGGATGGGGACTGACCTCAGCCGCACGCTGCGGCCCGACATGCTGTTCCAGGTGAAATCACCCTGCAGACCAAGGGGAAAAACATCAAGAGTTACACAGGTCATCTATGTCTCACAAACCTCATCTTCTCTTTTAGTTATAAAGTCAAGCAAACTTTGTGTTCCAAAATTGGCTCTCAATCCCTAAAATCACATCCACTCTTAGTTAACCACGGATTTTTCTCAGTCAGTTGCAAATATCAATATTTTGAATATCTGCCGGGTCACGTGATCCCATATAATGATGCACACATAGGCCAAAGAGCACTACGTGGAGAGATGCTTCAAGGATCTTACTTTCTCCTTTTATGTGAACACATGGGAACTTTTTGGCTTTGTATCTCTGTAGCAGGAGAAACTGTTGCTAATTGCCATCATGCACACTAGATATAGGAGGGTGAACCTGTATTGACAGCCTACTGTGCACCAGCGACTGTGCCAAGGGCTTTTAAGTTATTCCCTCCAACAAACTTACGAGTTGGTTACCATTTTTGACTAATCTTGTACAATATTTAATAATATAATAAAATTATATAATAATACAATCTAGTATGTTTATAATATATAACAATATATTATTATAATATACAACATATCCTCATGATACATTATATTAATATTATAGTAATATATAATATATGTAAATAAAATACAATATAGATGAAACTGAGGCTTAAGGAAGTCAAATAATTTTCCCCAAATCACAAAACTTACAAGATTTGGAACCAATCAGGACTCAAGGTAAGAAACTTATGCCCTTACACTCTATGCTAAATTGTAATAACTCAGTTTCTGTTTACAGGACTCCAATGGGCTATTTTGATCACAATAAGTACAGAGATATGATTACTAAGAACTAGATATATTTATGGAGACATTTGATGCTAAAATACTCCACACCAAAGAATCAAAGCAAAGATTCCCACAATCCCGAGTACATCTGTGTGCGCGCATACACACCGCTAATGTCCACTGAGAGTAAACGGCTCTATCCTCGATGCAGACAGTGAGAAAGTGATGGCCTAAGAAACAACATATCACAATCTTCTGAAACCCAATGTCCCCTTACTGAGGAGGACTTCCTGTCAATCACAGTTACCAGCCAGGCCACAACAGCTTTGAAGAGGTACCTACTGCTTCCTCAACAATCAAGAAAAGGCCCAGGAGGAAGGAACAGTGCTGGCTCCCACAGGCACTGCCAGGCACTTCTTGTGGATGTGTGGAACACTTACGTTACCCCATAAGACTTCACTATTCTCATCACTCACTTTAAAGAAGAGAGACAGAAAGACTGGCCCCAGCAACTATTAAGACACCTTTGTTCCCTACCGGTAGCAAATTCCTGCCTAGAATGTTCATTCCAAAGAGTGAATGGCGCTATGTTAATTCTTTGATATTTTTTCCTCTTTATCTGGAATTCCATTTATCTATTTATTGATTCATTCATCAAATGGAGATATCATACTCTAGTAGGGGCAGAAAATCAACAAGGTAAGTAAAGGCTATAGTGTGTTAGATAATGATGACTGCTAGGGAGGGAACAAAAAGCAGGGAAGGGGCTGGCAATGTGAGCAGAGGACAGGATTTACAGTTTTAGATACAGCGGCAGGAAAGACCTCACAGAGAAGGCCATGTTTGAGCAGGAGTTAAAGGAAGTGGGGGCTTTTTCTTTGTCTGTATGAATTTGTATCCTGCAGATAGTGGTAAAGACTAACAGGAAGCCAGGAGGGGCTCAGGGAGCATCATGTGGGGATGGGTCTGGGGAGGGGAGTGAGAGAGCAAATCTAGGCCAAGTGGGCAGTCTGCAGTCATGTTCAGTGAACTGAAGAAAGTTCTTCCAGTTTCAGTATGCTTTGAATTTTTTTTCTTTCTTTTTTGGGTACAACTGGACTAAGCACAAGTTTAGGCAGTTAGGAGTTGGGGACTCAGGCCTTGGGTGTACCCCTCACTCACACTCCTTAAGCTTAGGGTATCACAAGGTACAATGTCAGTGAATTGCTTTTTCCCCCCAAATGGGAAGTTTCAGATGAGTTGGTGAGTTTTAAATATGACGTGTAGGTTTCTAAGAGAGCCAACTGTTATTTGAAGTGTTTAAAATGGAATTACATACCTATTCTTCAAAAGCATTTAAAAATGTGAACTCCAATGGGCTCAATTATCTATAGCAAGGGTTGGCTATCTTTTTCTGTGAAAAGGTCAGATAGTAAATATTTTAGGCTATACAGGCCACGTGGTTTCTGTCAAAACTACTCAAATCTGCCTTTGTGGCATGAAAGCAGCCATAGACAATTCATAAATGAATGAGCGTAGCTGTGTTCCAATAAAACTTCATTTACAAAAACAGGTAGAAGGCTGGATTTGGCCAGTGGGCTGTAATTTGCCAACTTCTGAACTATAGCTTATGACTGAAAGAAACCAATCCCTAGAAGATACATTTTATTTTTATTTACTATGTCCTCCTGGTTAATTAATTCAAACAAAATTTAATGAGCACCTATTAGATGCTAAGAATAGTACTAGGCTTGGGATTGCCAAAATGACAACACAGTCCTTGTCCAGAAGGAGTTGAACTTTGGTAGGAAGAACTCATGCAATCTATCAAATACAGAGATCATGATACTAGAAGTAAATACGAAATGCAATGGGGTGCCCAGGAGAAAAGGCTTTGACATCTGTCTGGGGGATCAAGGACGGCTTTTTAGAGAAGGCAGTGTTTCAATGGAGACTTGAAAAGTGAGTAAGAGGGGTAAGGGTTTGCCTAGTGGAAATGAAACAGTGGAAAAAACAGTGGGTGCCAAAGCAAATGAATTTGAGAGAACAGTCTTGTTTTGGGAAATTACAAGGCTGGAAGGAGGGAAACAGCAGGAGGCGAAACCATGCAGAAGTCAGGGCCAGATCCTGGAGGGCTTTCTCTGCAGGCATTGCAAAGTAGATTGGCTTTTACTCAGTAGGTGATGGCTAGCCATTAAGGAATCTTGAATAAGAGAGGAACGTGATCAGATTTACATATGGAAAAGATGACTGGAAACAAATTTCTAAAGGAATTGAGGGAGGGAGCAGTTAAAGACGTAGAGATCAGAAAAGATGCTGTGCTGGGTGTGATGCTGAATCAGATTTGAAGAGACAGGGAGACACAGAATCACATAGATGCTTGGGGACAAATTGGATGCAGTGCGGGGGGGGGGGGGGGGG